AAAAAAAAAAAAAAAAAAAAAAAAAAAAAATACCGAGTAGCCGTAACAATCTTTTTTTTTTTGTTTCCCCAAAGCCGTCCCAATGAGCTGGATGCTAGGATCTGGACATTTATATTTATTAAAAAAAAAAAAAATCTTCGATGGGTGTTGAAACAGATATAGCTTTCAAGGATCGGATGGGGCCGCCGGTGGGGCTCCGGCTAACGCAAAGACCGAGCATTTTGCCAGTAGCTGCCCCTCCCTTTTCATCGTCCCCCACCCCCAACTGAATATTAACAGCAGTGTCCACAGCCAACACTCTCCCACACACCACACACAACCCACTCACACTCACACCCATGTCGGCCAAGGACCCTGTTATTACCAGTCAGAGGTATCAAGTGGACTATCACCACTGGTTGGCACTAAGTGTGCGCCGCAGGCGGTTGTTGGGCAACATGCATCCCCTCTGATGGCTGGAGGGAGACAACAAAGCTATGTTTGCAGGGGTCCGTTGTCTAAGCCTTAGGAGTAGTGGTAGGTAGGTAGTGAAGGTGAATTGAAAGAATAATTTGAAACATGATGAAAAGAATTTGAGAGAAGAATATAGCCTAGTTAAAAATTAAAAAAAAATAAAAAAAGAAACAGATATAGCTTTCTGGAGATGGCTCAAGATAGTGGGCTCAGTAGAAGTGGCTGTGCCCTGTAGTATCAGAGCTATAGGCTATAGCCCTTAGTAGAAGGAGCTGATATAGCTTTCTGGAGATGGCCCAAGATAGTGGGCTCAGTAGAAGTGGCTGTGCCCTGTAGTATCAGAGCTATAGGCTATAGCGCTTAGTAGAAGGAGCTATCATGGCTCGGTCCTTCTTATACTGTTCCAATTAACCAAATGATAGAGGTCCCGGTATCTCAGATTTTCCAATTTCCATGTAAATTTCCATATGGGACGCTGGGCCCGGTTCCCAGCCCGTGCTGCTCCCCACGAATAAATTGGAGCTTTGTTCCCATTAAAAAAAAAAAAAAAAAAAAAAGGTTACTACCTTTAGCCCTTAGGGCATACTCACAGTAGCACTTTCGGAAATGTATCTGACTGCAATTGCGGCTTGTCCCGAATGCATCTGACAGCAATCACCTCCAGAGCTCAGTGAATGGATTCCACACGGTCCGTCCCGGTCTCAAGGTCCCATTCGGGCCCCATCCCAGGCTGTCCTGGTAGGGTAGGTCATAGGTTCCGTAGGTCGAAGCGTCGGTAGGAGTCGGGTACCAAAGCCTCCCAGTCTGGTGAAAGTCTGCCGGTACCTCCAGAGGAAGTCAAGTCCCAAGTCCGATTTGCAGCAGCGTCCCAAGAAAGTCCCAGGACTTCCGGAAACACCAATTTTGGCAAGGTACGCAAGGCAGAAGCCGGGGCGACCGCAACCGGTCAGAAGCAGGCACGAACAGTCAACTGCAACTACGGGCCTCGCCGCCACACCACTCTCGAAATGTGAAAAAGACAAAAATGTGGCAGGTGCATCTGGCCATGTTCTACCTGGAAGTTCATTCTCATTTTGCACATTTCGAGAGCGGTGTGGCAATACCCTATATTTAGCTGCTACAGTGCCAAGTGAAGGCAGGTGTTTATTCGCAAAAAGTTGCGGAGGCGCTGCTTAACAATGCTTGTGCGATAGTGCGCACCTGGACCAGCGCGAAGCGCCGGGGGAGGAGAACAGGCACTCTGGCTACCAGAGTCAGCCATAGCTAGTGAATTAGGAAGGAGGACGACAGCGGCCATAGACGCTCGAGGTTAAAAGAGACACATCGCCGTTGTATTCAGGGTAGATCCTGGCGCG